AAAAAAAAAAAAACAGAAAGAAAAACAAGAAACAAAAGCCGGCAAAATCAAAGTAAAGGTACGAAATAAAATATACATTAAAACTGGGAGGACGAATAGAAGACAGAGAAGAAGAAAGAGAAGCCTAGAAGAAAAGATAAAGATTAACACACATACACAAGAAAGAATATGTACGGGAAAAAAGAAGAAAAAAATATAACAAGTGTCGCGTTTTGTTAGTTTATTTACATCATATAGTCTCTACAGAATCCTGTTTCTAAAACGATTTTGTCACCATACATCCCGTTTGTTTGAGTCAAGCGCGACCTTCCCATTCCCGGAAGTAACACCCCGTTCCAGTCTATCGCTTTTCAACGGGGAACGCCTGGAGGAAACCCTTCATTTATCATGTGATTTATCGTAGTTTTTATGTAAATATGGCGGCTGTCGACAACAGAGAATTATCGTCCGATTTATACGAGGTATATATACTCTTTCCACACATCATATTATCTTATTGATAGTGCAACAATTTGATTAAGATAATATCGAAGAACCCAGGGTAGTTGTTTTATCAGATTTATTCATCGTGTTGTTGTAAAAGGCAATTGTTTTGTCAGAGTGTGTGAGGGACTTGAAAATTCCTTTAATGATCCATGCCAGTCCGTCTGATATTTCAATTTCTATTGAGCTTCTTTGTTTACTATTCGCGCTTAATAAGACACGCGAAATTCTTTTATGACGGCTAGCTCTGTGATGTAAAAGGCGTACTAATATAGCCTTATTAATATAGCGTGGCTAACGCTTCCAAGAATTTGTCGTTCTTGTTCTTGTTGTTAAGATGAAAATGTTGCTTTCAGATACGGATTGCTGTTTCTGTTTCCACTTCCTTCTTTATTATTCCTTCTTGGCTATGAAATAGCTTACTAAAGACTAAGGATAATAATCATTCCCAGAAGCTTGGCTCGTTTAGAATTGTTGTAAGGGAATTAGCCAAAAGTTGTGATGTCTAGTAGTATTAGTAGTGTTAACATTTTGACTTTACCATTTATCCTTTACCTTACAAACCATATAGTCTTCATTTGCGTGTTTTTGCTTTAAATATTTTCAAGTCATTATCTTCATACCTTTGACAAATATAGTACATCAAAGTATTTATAGACTCAGAAAAGACACCTATTTGTCATATTAATGTAGGATACCATATAAGCCGATATGCAAGAAGACATGACGTCTTTTGGACTATTATTTATGGCTTTATACGATGTAAAACGAATACTACTAAGACTTATTATAGCCTTATTGCCCAAGAACCAGGCCTAATTTACTCTACTCTGTGTCTTACTTGTTACTACAAAGTCCAGCTATGGGAAGATAGTCAAAACATTGGTTTGTTAGTTAGAATGTAGCTCTGTCATATATATGTGCATGATTGCCATTGAGATTAATTATTAATGATGTGGTTCAACTGTAACCACAGGAAGGAAGACTTCTTAAGGATGAGCTGACTGTATAGAGGCTAAAGTGGTTAATGAAATAACAAAATATCCTTCCTCTAGATCATGTATTCAATTTATTTATTTTTGATCTTAGTATTGAACTGTTTGAGCATGTCACTCGTCATAATTTTCATGCAATTATGGATAAATATACTTGTCTTGGGTTACTTCAGGATGAAGTGGTTTATTGTACAGCTGCTGGTACTTGTCCAAACATTTGAAACGAAAACAAAATGAGAAATTTTCTAACGTTATATTTCAATGCATGAACTCCTATGTACCTAACTTTCATTTTTGCTTTTGCGTACTGTACGCTGAATCAAAATATGGCAACTAATTTGAATAGCTATTGTTCTGGACTGACTAACCTCTCATATGTAATCTGAAAATGTTTTTATGTTTCCACATGACCACGAGGCTAGTCAATCCAGCACAATAGTTATTGAAATAACACACAAAAATTTTAATTAGAAAATAAAAGGGCAAAAAAGTTTCGAAATGAGTTTAGGAGTGTTTTTATATTTTATGACACATTTTATGGTATATGATAAGAAATTTATAATACTCAGGCAAGCATTTCGACAGCTATTAAAATTTATGGTTATTGTGTGGTTGTGTGGGTTTAAAACTTTAACAGTATCTTTTAGGGGTATTATAAGATGTAATATTATTCTTCTCTGGGGACCCTAGGGCAAATGAGGAAAGAGGAGGACTGAGGAGAGTTTATTTGGCATAGTCAGCCCTCTATTTGAATTTATCTTTTCCAACATTCGCAAGCACTGTAAAAAGTAACACTTGCTCAGATTCAAAAACAAGGCATTTTTGGGCAAGATCTTACAAGCTATGGAAAACACATACTTTGAAATTATGTAAATGAAGGAATACTTTGAAGTTTCTTTAAGTTCAGAAGCTGGATTATATCTTGTTGAAAAAATATAGCTCACTTCATACAAAATGTTGTTGTTTCTTTGAAGTTGAACACTGCCCTAAGATGTGCCATTTTTCTGTCTGCGCCATTAATATTTATGAATGTGCTCGTCATCGGAAATCTTGTATTGGGAAATTGCCAAAGGGAGTAAAACGTTGTAATGTGTTTTTCATTACGTATTTTCAGCAGTCAAAGCCAACAGCTTCAGCATCAGTGTCAGCACCGTCCATTGATCTTTCATGTATTCATGTAAGTACTCAAACAAAGTCAATGTTTTGAAGGCTTTATGGTTTGTCTTTAGAATCAGAAGGGATTGTACATACTTATCTTTCATGTTTTGGGATTCAAGATGCAGGGAGCCAAGATAGATAATAATTTTACTATTATCCAAGTAAATATTTGTGGATATAATGTATTAATTTTACAGTTCAGATGAATAATTTTGAATTTAATTTTTTATCAGCGAAACGATGATTTTATAAAATTGTGTGCTTATTTGTAGTGGGGATACCTTAATAGTGCATTAGTACCTGACAAAACCAAAAAAGTCAAGGTGAGTAGTTTTGTTCGGTCTTTTATTAACTAGTACATGATATGATCCTTAGTTTTATTTTTCTATTATAGTTTTAATATTAATAGCAGACCACAAATTCAGAATGAATGGTTTCCAATTTGGTTCATTTTCACTTTCACACACTACTTGTAACAGGGCTTGAAATAAAAAAAAGAATTGTAACCTGCCATAGTAGTTTTAGGAGCATGGTAAAAGGAGGTCATTCCAGTAAATTGTGCATGCCATTCTATTTTTGATTTGACAGTGCACTGTTATTTTCGCCCTGCCAAACCTGAAATTTGGCCTGTTATTTGGCCACTGGCAGGCTGCTATTTCGAACCCTGACTCGGAAGTCACAATTTTATGGAGGAAGGAATACTAAAGAAAAACTTTTGTGGCTAGGGAGAGAATAACACTGGATCCAGGGGGGGGGGGGGGGGGG